GAGACCCGCCTGGGCAACTTGGCGAGACCTCATCTCTACAATAAATTAAAAATTAGCCGGACATGGTAGCGCGGGCCTGTAGTTCCAGCTCCTTGGAAGGCTGAGGCGGAAGGATCGCCGGAGCCCAGCAGGTCGAGGTTGTGGTGGCTAGGAGCGGCCACTGCACTCCAGTCTGGGCAACAGAGCGAGACTCCAACTCAAAAAAAAAAAAAATACTCTGACAGTAGCGGGAAACTGCTGGGAGGGGGCGGGGAAGTGGGATTGGCAGTAGTGGGAGTCTGCCTGGGGAAGGGAGGGCACACCTCATCCACAAGAGTACCTGCATAATGAACACCTAACCCTGAATTTTACTCCTCATCCTTAAAATAAAAAAATTAAAAGTCAAAAAAAATCCTCCGGTTGGGTGCCGTGGATCATGCCCATAATCTCCCCACATTTGGGAGACTGAGGTGGGAGGATCGCTTGAGACCAGGAGTTAGAGACAAGCCTGGCCAACATAGTGAGACCTTGTTTCTAGAAAAAATAAAAAATAAAAAAGTTGGTTGGGTGTGGTGGTGCATGCCTGCAGTCCCAACTACTTGGGACTAATTGTTCTAGCATCTGAGAAGACTTCCTCCAAGCTGAGGCGAAAGGATTGTCTGAGTCCAGGAGGTGGAGGCTGTGGTGAGCCATGAGCATGCCACTGCACTCCAGCCTGGGTGACAGAGAGAGACTCCTACTCAAAATGAATGAATGAATGAATGAATAAATAAATAAATAACCATTGAAAAAGAAAAAATAAGTTGTCTGTAGCTTGGAGTTAACGTCTATGCTTCCACCACCAAAGCTGTCCAAATGGGTGACGGTGGTGGGAGGGGTGGAGGAAGAATGCCCACTCTGGCTCCCGAGTCTCCATGTTCTCTCATCAGTTACAGGAGCCTGATGCGTAGAGCTGGGCCACAGACATGCTCAGCCCTATACCTCCACCCTGCAAGGCCAGGGCCCTGTGTAGCCACTGTGGGTTGAGCCTAGGACCTGGTTCCCTGCAGGGGTTTCTGAGGGACCACTCTTTGAAGAGTTGGCCTCCCCAGCTCCTCTTGTTAAGTCAACTCTGTTCAGCTCTCTTCTGCGGAGTTCACTCCACCACAACTGCCCCTCTGGGGCCCAGTCCCCTGCCCCCGAGTCTCTCTTTGGCTGGGCTGTACCCCTTGGAAGAGCAGCTTTTCCCTCTGGGACTCAGTCTGACCTTGGATCGAGAAATGGCTAAGGCTTGCATAACTGCTGTGACTTCTCCTCCTCCTCCTCCTCCTCCTCCTCCTCCTCCTCCTCAGTGTTGCCCAAAGGTTTGTTCTGAAGTTCCGATATCAAACATTTGCTCAACTCAGGTTTGTTGAATTCCCAGCACCTACTCTGCCCCCTTTCATCTTGTATCGCCCTAGCAAAAATAATCTTCTCTCTTCTATAACGTGGATCCAAAAGCTAAAATTGAACCTGCATCAGATGGTTTTAAGATTATATATATATATATATATATATTCGTTTCTCCCATGGGATTTCATTTTACCCACACCTGCTTCTTAAAGACTTTCATTGCTGTGTGTCTCTGAAAATTTAAACTATATTTGAACCAAAGATCGGAGGGTCCTTCCTGACACTCTCCCAGGAAGCAGCAGTGGGTCACTGACCTGCATGGGAGGGTGGAGAGGTGGTGGGGAAAGGTGCCCAGCATAGCAGTTGTGAGCAAATAACAGGCAGTGGCTCTCTGGATCAAAACATGACACTCCTTCTAGTTTCTAACTTGTTTTCTGGGCATAAGTTTGGTCTGGCTGACTCTGCTTCTTGCCCTCCAGATTCCTGCACTCAGGGATTGCATGTCATCCCCGTGTCTAGATCTAGACATTCAGGTCAATAAATTTGGTACCAAACATCAAGCTTCTAGTCTTTAAATACTGGCTCACAGGCCAGATGCCGTGGCTTATGCCTGTAGTCCCAGGACTTAGGGAGGCAGAGACAAGAGGAGCCCGCGGGTTTGAGACCAGCCTGGGCAATGTGGAGAGACCTTGCCTCTATAATACATCAAAAAATTAACTGGGTGTGGTGGTGCACACCTGTGTTTCCAGTTACTTGGAAGCTCAGCATGTCAAGGCTGCAGTGGTGGTGATCATGCCACTGCACTCCAACCTGGACGACAAAATGAGACTCCTACTCAAAAAGCAAACAAACAAATAAATGTTGACTCACTGTTTACTGAGTGCTATGTGGGAAGGACACTCCTGGCTTCCTCTCCCAGAGCATTTCAGGTCAGACCCCAAACGTGCCCACTCTGCTCCCCAGAAACAAGCCCCTGCAGCTTCCTGGTCCCTCTCTGTGAAAGGCAGTCTGGTGTCACTCCAGGAGGCTGTTGGGTTTCACCCCTTGCAAACTACTCATGGAAGGCTCACTTCCAAGCACCACACGACTTCTTGGGCGGCCACACGTTTCCGCAGGAGTCTGGGATTCCTCAGTGCTGGTGCTCAGGAATCCGCCTGGCTAGCCCCACTCTCCGTCTCCTTGGGGCTTGACATACGCCCATATTTATGACTTATTAACAATACGACCGCACTCGCCGCCTGTTCCAGGGGGCAGGTGTGGTAAGAGAAGGGGAAAACAAAAAGTGAGAATAAAAATAAAAAAGAAGCCAGCCTCGGTGGCTCAGCCTGTAATCCCGCGCTTTGGGAGGCTGAGGTGAGTGGAT